CGATGGGAGAGGAAGAGTCGGATTGTGGATCATGGGGTAGACCTGATGGGAAAAATGGACTTGGCTCTCAAAGAGTGGTCAGAACGTTGGGTTCATATTGTTGATGGTGGTGACATTACAGATGAGGGTGAGTACATGCAATGGTATCACAAGATTACTCGGAAATATATTGGGAGAGTCACATCATCCCTGGAGTCAGAGTATCAAAGAACAGTATGTTTTGCTCATTAGTTGTTTATCTTTACTTTCTTTAACTTGAGTGTATGTTTTATGAATACTTGACTGCTACATGCTTTTGTAGGTTACTGCTATGAAGGAAATTGCCAGCATTGCTGATATAGTCTCAGCAGAAGGGTTGGATTCTTATAATAGAGAGTTACTCGATGAAGTGAAAAATATTGTGCACAAATGTTTAACAGAGCAGTTTGAAGAAATACCAAATGATAAAGTGAAAAAGAAGGGCAATCGGAAACGTAGGCAAAAGGACCACCTAAGTATGGAATATGAATAGCACCAGTTCATAGTGGTGCTGGTGCAAGCTTATTCTAACCTTAGTCTATTGATATTTATTACTTCAGGTTATTAAAAAGGACGAAGGTGTATAATCAAATGATCAACACCACTACATTAAGAGGATGACATATTTATTAACATAAAAAAAAATTATTGAGACATTTGAATGCAGATAGTTTGTAAGTATACACTGTAAATCGTCATTTGTATTTTTGAAATTCCTTAGTGTCAATTTATTTGTGCTTTCTTCATGCTCCAAGCATTCAGTCTTGTAATATTAACATCAGCAGTGCCATTATTGAAAGCATATAGTTGTGCTTTATCATTGATCGCCAATGTGGGGTAAACTCTGGCTGTGATACAAGCTCTTCCCTCTCCTCCAAAACTCTCTACGACAGAATGATCAGTCTGTGGAATTGAAAAACTCATGCCTTAGAAAAAAATTATAGATCATTTGAACAAAAGAAAAGATGGCACCAACTAAGAAAAATGACTTTTAGCACACACTTCTTATTATCATTATCCCAATTATCATTACTATTAAATGTATTACAAATCATATCTTTTTTGTAGATGAATGTTTGTGTTCAAGTGTATAAAATTATGTGTATACGGACTTGCTAAAATTTGAGTCCAAATTTTCTGCTGAGTTTTTTTGTAATATCTTTGTGTTATATCTTTACTGAATCTTTAAAATACACTGATATTTGTATGTTTGAAAAAGTTTTTAATATATTTTAAAACATTAAAATTTGTGTTTATCAGTATATTTTGAAAACTCAGCAGAGAAAACCAAATTCTTAAAACTTAAGAGTTCCATTTGAATGCAATTTCGATGAGTATTAGTAGCTTCATCGGCTGAAACATACCAGTGTTCTCAATGAAAGCTGTTCATGAAGAGGTTCCACGTCAACAAAAGCTCCATAAGTGGTCAAATCATTGTCTTTATTTAAGGAAGACCTGTTTGCATACATGCATTTGTATGAGTTTGGAGAGATTGTATGAGTTTGGAGAGAAGTTGAGTGGATAGAAATAAATAGAGGACACAAACAAATTAACCTGCTTTGATCACTGCATAAGAGCACCAAATTTTTATTTTGGTATTTGAATATTCTGAAGAAAACTGATGTGAACTCTTGCAATCCCTCAGAAGCAAAAACTAGCAGACCAAACGGCCCCAATTCACTTTTAATGGATGAACCCTTTTGCCTACACAGAATTTGGGGGTCTGTCCAATTGTCCAATACTTCAGCCTCTATCAATTTACTCACTTCAAATGAAATTTAAACATCAGCCTGCAGAGGACAAATTATCACTAATTTTAAAACAACCCTTAACTGCTAACTTGATTCCCAAGCATTTTAATGATGGGAATTTAGTCTTTTCATTTCAACTGTGACAATTGATTTTTGTAGGTATGTTTTTCTTATTACAGTGTAAATTAGATTTTTAAGATTTCACTATGATTTTAGTCTCTCTGTCATCTAGAATCTATGGATGCGACAGTGATTTATTACGTCTGAGAGACTAAAGTTACTTAATCTGATTAGTACAATTAGACAATGAAATATTTGAATCGCAGAATTATAAGAGACTTAATCATAACAGTTGAAACTTGAAAAAACTACACAATTTGAAAAAAAAGAATATAATTAAGTCTTAAAACAAATATATATACGAAAATTTTATCATTTTTCTATTATGATATATTTTAAACAACTAAAAATTAAAATATTTTTTAGAAAGAAATGTTTATTACATTAAAAAAATAATACTATGTTTTTTAGAGTTTCCTATAGATATTTATTTTCATTCCAAGAGTTGGTAAAACTAACAGTTTTTTCAATATAATATTTAAGTTTTAGTTGCTAAAATAACGTTAACAAGACCAGATTAGCATAGTGAACAATTTCTCTAATTTTTATCTAAAACTGCACTTCTAATATCAAGATGGTTGATTGAATTCTAATGTGTAACAAGAACTTATTTTAAAATTTAGTATTCCTATATTTAACATTTAAAGAGTATATAAACATCTTTTTGATGCTAAAATTTATGCAAGTTTCACTACATTGAAAGAGACCTAGTAATAAAATTATACTGCTATGAAACCACATTTGGAACACTTATTATGTTTATATGGTAGTAGGTGAAATCTACCTGTGATGCTGTAACACCATTAATTTGAAGCAATTGTCCTCCTTTTAGTACTTGTGGGGGCAAGTTCACTGGGTTTGCATGAAGCTTTTCAATTTCCATCACAGGCCATTGTACCAGCTGTTTACCAGACCTGTGCAACCAAATGGCCCTTGGAATTGCCTATAAAT